GAGTATAATATTAAAACGAAACAAAATACCAAGGGGGAGATTAGATATAAATAAACTCATTGTTAATTGAATTTATTAGTTAAAGAGAGGTAATTTTGAATAGATTAGATATAAATAAAATTATTTTTAATTGAATTTATTAGTTAAAGAGAGGTAATTCTGAATAAAGTTGATTTTGTGGAGAATGTAATTCTGAGTTTATATTTGAATAATATTTTAATTATAATAATTAAAATTGATGTGACATAAAAATACAAGAGAGATTATTGAAAATAATAAATAATTAAAAATATATAATTTGATAAATAGTTAATTAAAATTAATTTGTGCTGGATAATTGATTGGTATTATTTAATTATATTAATAATATTGAGAAGAGTATATTTAAATTAATTTAAATTGAATTTTAAATTAAAAAATATAAAAAGTTTATCCTGAAAACCGGTTTTAACATGAAGGAATCGCCCCAAAGTGTGATATCAACTCTATGTGAAATAGAAAATGATTAAAACTAGATCAATCTTATATTTTTCGTATATGAACTATACGTATTATAAAAGATAATTCAAACAAACTAAACCAAAGCCCAAACAATATTTAATTACCTCATTAAACCCTTTTTATGATGACCGCTAACAACATTTTTTATGCAAATATTTTCAACAAGTATGATATGTGCCAAATATGCGTAAGAGAAAATATGATATATAATGTTAATTTGATATAATCTTAAGTATTATGGTGAGTATACTAATAAAAAAAAATGAATCGGAAAGAATAATGAACATATTAATATTCACCATACATTCTAAAAATCCACTCATAATTAATAATATATATAATTAATATAACTATTAGTAGATGGAAAATTTATACTTCATTTAAATCATTTATAACGCATAAAAATTAAAATTAAAATTGTAAATGTTTACTTCCACAATTAACTAAAGCAATGTAAAATGGTATGATTATTTCTACAATTAGCTACAAAAATAAGCTGAAAAAATTTAGTCACTATATAAAAAATGGTTACGGTCTTATTAGGTTAGTATTGTCATTGTGTCATCAAAATATCTCCATAAACTTTCAAATTTCAGCTACTGATTTAACAATTCGATACTAATTCACCATGTTTAGCGTAAATGAAATTTAAATTAATATATTATTACTTTCCCAATCGGTCAATCCGAAACCCTAAACCAGTAAAACCCAATATAATAAATCTACAAAAAAAATAATTTTATACTTCGATTTTGTTGATCTCTTTCGTTTGATACCTTATAATATACTCCATCCTATTTTTATTAAATAAATTATTTGTCATCCTTACTTAATTGATCATTTGTTAAATAAATGTCGTTTTGGCTATTTTGTACATATTTTTCCATCATTACCCTCATTTAACTAATAAATACACTACGTCTTTTCACATTCACTCTCCATCTTTTTTCAAATCATCAATCACATTCACTCTCCACTTTTTCTCAAAACATCAATCTCTATCCTCATTAATGAGAGTTATTATTGGCAAAAAAATATCTATCTATACTTATATTAAAAGATATACTATTTACCAAATTTAGTATAAAGAAAAGTCAACAACATTTATTGCATTACTATTTCCGTATTATACAATCTATACTTATATAAAAGAAGATTTTATTTACTATATTTACTATCCAGAAAAGTCAACTGCATTTAATGTCATTGCTATTTTGGTATAGTAATATTTTATTTATTTAATTGATTTATTTATTTGTTTTATTTTAAAAAGGTATAATAAAAAGATTTTAATAATAAAAAAATCAAACACCAAATAAAAATGTCCACTTTGACTTATTTGATTATATTTGGTATTTGATTATACCAAATATATTCCTATCTAGTATATACATTAAATACTTACTAAAGTATTTATTTATTTTATTTGTCAAAGTTAAGTATAGATTTGTTTATATTATCAAATCATAAAAAAAAATTAAATCCATATTGTAAAATAAAAAATCATATAATTCTATAACAATTCTACTACACAATTTAACAATATTTCTTTTTTATTGTATAATAAAATAATAATTAAATATTATATGATGAACAACAATAAGTAAAACTGTTATTTTCTCTTATATCAAAGGATAAATTTATATGCTAAAATTAAATTTTTATTAGTATAAATGTTTTAGTGAGATAATATATTAATTATTTTACAAGCTAGCCCTAACATGCTCATATTTAATGTTTTAAAAGATGTAGAAAAAAAACTTATAATAGCTCTATTGTTTTTTAGAATTAAACGTTGATTAAAAGAGATAAAAATTCCTAATTTTTTAGACTTAAACGTTGATTAACACCATAGATTGAGAATTTATATTTAGTAAAATTCCTAATTGTAATAAAAAAATTAAATATCTTTAAACTCATTATAAAAAAAAAGAACAAAAACTACAATGAAAAAACCAAGTCAACTATATATCGATTTGTACTTCTCAAATCACATTCACAATTTGGCTACAAGGAAAGGAAACTCATTGATTAAAATATTATTTTGTCAGTAGTCTTAATGTACAAGAGACTTTAAGACTCTACTTGAATATTATAAAATTTTTATTGAACATTGTACAATTTTCTTGCGTATTATAAAGTTTTATTAAATATTGCATCTTATAATATAATATTCTCTAAATAAATATATCTCGTGCTTTGTACGGGTCACGTACTATATATATCCCGTATATTTTTCTTTATTCACGTATATAATTATAAGTCTGGATAAATAACCTTAAAATTGTGCACCCCATGTATCGCACAGGCTCTATACTAGTATGATATACAGTGAGCAAATTTATTTAGGTTACTCGATAATTGTTTTTTTTTTTGTAGAAAATTTATTGAAAATTTAATCAATATACGGTGTACTTTTTGCTGTAATGCGCAGGCTAATATATCGGTTTTTAGGCATGGGTTGGTTTCAATTTGTATTTCAATTTTTCGTATAAAATTAACATAATAAAATTACCGTAACTCTGACAAAATACTATGAATTGATATTTTGATATATTAATTAGTGGATCTCGATTTAATTCATTTTTTGTTACAACATTTCAAATAATTTTTGTGTGAAATGCACTGTTCATTTTTTTAGCATGATAAAAAGTGTTGATTTTTTATGACTGATTGTTTTTACTCAACTACTTAATTTTTTTGATTTGGATATTTATACAAAAATAAATTCATTTTAATTAATTAAACAATATAACTTTTATATTTATACATATATTTTTAAATATAAGATAAACATTTACCATAGTAATTATTTTGTGGAATCGCGTTATAGTCAAATCGAATTTTTAAATAAAAATTTTGAAATAATACATATTTTGAAATGATATAATGTAATTTGTTGTTAATTATGTGTACTAATTTTAAATAGACATTTTTATATAATTTTTCACTATTTAAATTTTATATAATATTTTCAATAAATTTTATAGGTACATTGTATTACATATTGATTTCATGTTTCTAATTTATAAATATTTTTAATGAAAATTTTTAATTTATAAATATTAATTAATATCTTTTACCCGTGCATCGCACGGGATTCGTATTAGTTTTTAATTATTGTACAACTTCTCAAAACGACAATTATTAAAAATAGGAGGAACAATTATTAAAAATAGGAGGGAGTATCAAATTGAATTGCAAACCAACACCATTACTTACTAATAAATTACAACAGAGATCAAGAGAGTTTCAATTGTTGTTCTAAATTCATATATCTTCATTTCTTATACCATAAATCTTAACTAAGTGACATCAAATTTAAAAGAAAATCAAAATAATGTAGTAATAGAAAGAAAAAAATAGTTCGAAAACCCCATCCCACAATAAAAGAAACAAGAAAAAAAATTGGAAAGATAGAAGAAATTGGAAGCTCAGATCTGTTAAAAAGACAGGAGGAAAAAGCAACACCGCCATGGCTGCATAATAAACCGGTTGCAATGTGACAAAGCCACAACGCCGCCCGGCCTGCCCCGCCAAGATACGGGTCGAATTTTTTCCTCTGCCCGATCCATTAGCCCAGAAATTTAGAAGAAACCAACCAACCAGTATCATCACAGCCTCCATAAACCCTTCTAATCCCAAAAACCAATAGCAGATCTGAAGATAAAATTTATATCCAAACACAACCCTAAATATCGATCTTCCAGTAAGAAGAAGAATTACAGTATCTATGTGTGTATATGTGAGTGTATGATAGAGCGAGGTGATGTTATATATTTATCTTTTCATTTTGTTCGTTTTCTTTTTCCAGAAAATAAAGGGCTGTTGATTATCGAAAAAAATCATCGGCATACAGAGATGAGCAACCGCCCTTAGGTGAAAATCCCGATGATCTCTGTAGCCTCATTTTTTTCGGCTAATGGATACTGAAAAAATGGTTGAGGAAGGAGGGTTGAGGTTATATAGAGTTGATTTTCATTTTCCATTTTTGCCCTTGGTTACTGTATCGTGTTGTCCGCTCTCGTAGCCAGTGGTACAGTTTTACCCATTCCAAAAGATAAATTAGAAATTACCCACAAAGTAGGCCATAACTTTATTTTTACAGTCTCCAATGCTATGGTGTTGAAAGGCAATAATTTTTAACACATGTCAATTGATGATTGTAATGTTAATCCACATAAGAATAATGTTAAAAGAATAAAAATTTGAATCAAACTAGTATCTCCAATGCACCAATTTGATAAGAATTTATTTGTATAGGTGGACCAATTATAATAATTTATTAATACAAGAATAATAAAAAATTAAACCAAATATAAAGTGAATTAATGAGTCATCATGTTTAACATGGTGTTAGATATTAGAAAGTGAGTTCAACATTGTTAACATTAAATGCCATCCACATCATCATGAAAGAGCTAATGACAAGATGCATTGGAGAATAAATTAGTAATAAACTTTCAAAAGTTGATGATATGGATAATTTTTTGCAATGTCAAAAGTCACATTGGAGATGCTCTTACGGTCAATAAAAATCTTAGAGCTTGTTTGTTTATAGGTTATTAATTTATTTTTATTTATTTTATACTCAAAATCTAACTCAATCTTATTATCTTCAATATTATTCATATAATTAAATAATACAAACAAATTATCTTTACACATCAAATCAATTTTAATTCATTATATACCTATTTACATAATTTAATTTACTTCTCATTTCCAATTATTTATCTCTTACTTTTATATCAAATTAATTTTAATCATTTTATTTAAATATTATTTTAATAAATTTTTAAAATTTCACTAACAATTAATCATATCACATTTTTTAAATTAACAATGATTAACCATAATAACTCATTTTTAACGTATTATTTGATAAACAAGCCTGTCCTTAGCAAATCTACCAAGTCTATTAATTTGCAAACACACAAGGCATGCTTTTAAATTGACTTGTATTTTTTTTTTTTTAAATCACCTAGCAATCCTGTAAACTTGTTTTGAAAAACTCAAGTAGATTATACTCCCTCCTATTCATAATAAGTGTCATTTTGGAAAGTTGTACACTAATTAAGAATAATTTTTTTGTCAATAATAACCCTCATTAATGAAGATAGAGATGAATGTTTTAAAAAAAAAGATAAAGAGAATATGAAAAGACGTAGTATATTTATTAACTAAATGAGGGTAATAATAGAAAAATATGTACAAAAGATCCAAAACAACATTTATTTTGGTTAATAGTTGATAAAATCAAAATCACATTTAAAAAAAGCCAAAATCACATTTAAAAAGAATAAGAGGTAGTATCAAGTTAAATCTATTATTGCAATCAAACTGACGCACAAAGTAATTAATATAATTTTTCATTTGAGACTTGAGTAGATAACATTTATGCATAGCATCCTCGAGTAGATATTCTCCGAACGAACTTTCAAAATACATTAATTAAGTTACTTTCAATTTTTGATAAAGTTCATGATAAAATATATTTCAACTAAAGATAAAGACCATCTGAATTGACTAATACAACATGCAACTTAAATTTCAAACAAAGTCATAGGTCTTACATTAACTGATGGTGTATCAGTTATCACACAAACANTTGGCCTCGAACGATGGGTTATAAAAGGAAGCTATGGACCGCCTATTCCCAACCCCCAAGGCCCGAACCCTGTGCCACACGCTCTTATACCTCCCATTGCTCAACACCTCGATTTGATCACCTGTGTTGATGACTATGGCATTTTTCATGGGCTGCACGTCGATCCACTCACCGTCTTTCAGAATCTGGAGGCCCGCCACCTCATCATCCTGGAACAGGAGGATGACCCCACCAGCGTCTGTGTGGGCCCGAAGCCCATTTACCCTTTCGGGCTGGGGGCATGGAGGGTAGTGGCTGACCTTGGTGCCGAAGAAGGCCTTGTCACCAGTTTGGGCCCCGGCGTTGAAGGCCCGATTGATGTAGCCCTTGGGCAGGCCCAAGTTCTCATCCATTGTCTCCATGACTCGGACAGCTAGCTTCTTGAGCTCGGATCTGTACTCCTTCATGATTTCTCTGTTTTATTAGAAATTAATTAATTAATTTTGGTCTCATGAATATTATGAAAAATAAAAATAAAAGAAATTAAATAAATGTAATTGTGCTTAATTACTTGAAGCCAGGGGTTTTGGTAGGCCACTGATCCTCATTATCATCTGTGAGTAAGAAAACATCCTCCCAATCCACATTCTCTAATTTCTCATCGCTTTTTTTCTCGATTATTTCGTTCAGCAGTTTGACCGGCTTCGAGTTCTTGAAATTCGGCTCTCTTTCCAGTTTGAAGCATTCGGACGCAACTTTCTTCACCTTCCCTAACAGCTCCTCAGAGATCCCATGGTTGATCAGCTGTCGACGGTCGAATAATTGGACGGTTAATTCTTATCAGAAATATATATCAAAAAATTGTGTAAGCTGCCTATCCAAATTATGTACAGTACTAGCACCAACATACTTTCATTCATATAATATGCGTGTGTATATATATAACAGCAAAAATAAAAGTAAAAAAGTAATTACCTGAAAAAATCCCCACTCTTCACAGCAATGAGCAATCTGAGCCAGAGTCTTGGCTCTCTCTTCACCATCAAGCTTTGAGATATCAATTACAGGAATAGCCATTGATTTAACTATTAATTACTAATCACAACAAAAACTTGAACTATTGTTATATATGAGAAAAATAGGCTCACAAGACTTTTGCTGATATGGTGATCGAGACTGAGGTTGAAGCCTATTTATATAGGAAGGTCAACCAGTACTCATAAATAGATAAATAAATTTATTTTAATTATAAAATGATAGTGGCCATTGGAATTGGATCATGGTATTGGTAATGGATGGTTTGCAGTTTGCACAACATTAATGAACAGAATAAATAAAATAATGACATGGTCAACGTTTTATCAGTCATTCCCCAGGCCTAGTTGACTAATAAAGGGCTTTTCTTGGATATGCTCAGTTTGTTTAATCAGAGGTTAACACGTTAGATTAGCAGGAGCCCGCCACGTGGCAACGTAGTGTTATTTATTATCATCTTATCTATATACTCTTATCTCATAAAAAGAAGCATTACCTTCCCTTGACCCCACGTTACCTATTTCCTGGTTGACCACCGCCAATTTTATGGGTACCTTCACAATTTCGTCGTTTGCAACACAAAACGACGTTGTTTCAAGTTTAGCTGAAACCATGTCATTCCAGGCAACAGTCTGGGCCAATTATTAAAATACCAAATCGTAAGATAATTATAATCATTTTTTTTTTTTTTTGGGATATGAAATTGTTCGTGTTTATTGATTGTGGGGTTTTTATGGGTTTGTAGTTCCTAAATTGTATTTAGCTAAATAATGGGCTAAAAGTTGATTAGGATGCTTGATTTTTGGATTCACTTTTGTTTTGTATGAAATAAGGCTAAATATTTTTTTCTTTGCCTTGATTGAGTGATGTTTTATATCAAAATCTTTACATTATCTCCTCTATAGCTTTTTGGGTTAATCTTTTAAGAGTTTTTGCAGCCGTCCATTTTTGGGTAGATAAGTCTTAATTTTATTTTTTTTTCAGTAGTCATGTGATAATATAATTGTTATTCTTGTTCTCAATATTTACACATTAGGTAGAAGTTGAATGTGCAGTATGTTATGTTTTCTATTATAATCGTTAGAAAATAAGTGAATACGAAGAATAAATAAACTATCAGGTGCATTCATTATTGACATTGTTCATCGCCTTTTTGTGGCTGGTAGTGAATTTTTTGAGTAAATTGTCATCAATATATATTTCTTGTTTGTAAATCCATTTTTCAATTTTCTATAATATTTTTTTTAAATTGATTTGATTTAGGTTTCTTTTTACAGAGTGTTTATAACTTAAATAATCTTGTGTATAAGACTATGTTTCTTTTGTCATTCTTTAAAATTGAAGTTTAGTGATTATTATTTTGCTATTTCAATTGGTTTAAGTGGTTTTTAGGTTGTATTACTTATTTTTCAGATTTGGTTTGTTTTGTTTTGCCTCTGAAACAACAAAGAACTATATTGGGCTATGTTTTCTTGTTCGTTTCACAGATTGTCTGCAACTCTTTCAGATTTATATGTAGTTGGGTTCTCTAGCTACTTGTTCTCTAGTAAATTTTCAGCAAAGTTATTTTTGAAGCTGCTGGAGAACTTTGTTTTAAATCATTCTAACACTTACTTTTTCAACATAAACTAGACCTTTTTGTGTTTTATTTTCTGTTTTCTTAGGCTAAAACTAGTATGTAACCCGTGCGATGCACGAACTGTATAAATTTAGGGAATAATATAATTTGACATGCATTAGAATCGAAATAATTATAACACATAGGAACATTATTGAATCATAAAATATTCGTCACGAAACAATCATATATTATTAAAAACCTCGTTGTACACAACATTATGAGTTTGATTATTGGATAACTTGTCATTATCACAAATTAATATCTTCAACCTCCTTCTATTAGTTACACGTAAAACAACAACATAAGTGCGATAAAGACTGTCCCTAACTCTTGTTTATAGTCATGGCATACGAAACCATAAGTGAGAACTGTCGCTGCTGGAACTTAAATAGACTCCTAGTATCGGATGGAGTGATATTCATCCTAGGAATCAAGACTTTCTCACCAACGTGATCTCCTGTCAATATCTTGCATTCGAGAACATGAGTAGAGAGTTTAGTCACAACCAATCACCAGCGTGATCTCCTGTCAATATTTTGCATTCGAGAACATGAGTAGATAATTTAGTCACAACCAATCGAGTCCCATTTAAGAGATCATATTTCTTTAATAAATAAATCAAACTCCACTTTAAGATTTGCTTTTTTAAAAATAATAAAATCATAATTTAGGCAATGATATATGATATCCAACCGATAGATGCCCTATCATATAATAACTCTTTGATTATGTATAATCCCTTTTTGTGTAGATATTTTCAGAATAAAAAGCGTGTTAAAATTAACCATATCAAATAATAAAATGAGTTTCATAGCAAGTAAAGTTCTAAAATTTCAATTTTTTAGATATTGAATTTGAAATATAATCAAATCCGTCTTCGTATGAAGTTTAAATAGACCCTCATATTTGTTGACACACATTCTTAATAAATCTAGATTTACAGTTCAGGTTATGTGCTTATTCAAGGAATAAAATTCCTTCATTTAAGGGATCATATTCCTTTAATAAATAAATCAAACTCCACTTTAAGATTTGGTATTTTTTTAAAATTAAAATTATAATTTAGGCAATGATATGTGATATAAAAAAAAAGGGACTGCCCGATTTTGTCAAATCTATAAGTACAAATTGTATTAGCCATGTGTGTCTCCCGTCAGTTCATTCCCCGTAAATATGATTATATTTATAAATCTTCGTTAGAAAATAATCGGGATAGCAATTTGTAATTTTTTAAATTACGTATTATATTCATAATTTTATTTTAATTCGAAAAGTATATTTGTAAATTTTATTCATTTTTCGAGATTCCAAGCGGTATACGCAGATTTATAGAGTAATTAACTATTCATACTAATTCAGTACATCAGGATATATTTTTTTTTAAAAAAAAACAATGCTATAATGTTGGAAACGGACGTGAGATCAATCAAGTTATTATTGAGTTAATTTTGTTTTCAAAAAAAGCTACAGCGCATCACTTTGAATTATAATAATAATAATAATACATTAATCACTTTCTTTTTATTAAAATAAATGGTTTTTAATTAAATATTAGCTTTATAAAATAGAATTTATATTTTTTTTTAGATGTGGATGTTTTTAAATGGGATATGATGATTTTATTGATTATGTATTGTAATTGTAACTGATAGTGTAGTTAAAAAATAAATATGCTCATTTATTTGTACTAAAAAAACTTTAAATAAATAAATATGCTAAATTTTTCATTCATTCATCAAATAAAATGGACAACTATATTTGCCAATTATTTTTAAAATTCAGAATTACCAAATTTCATCAAATACTATAGAAAACAAACTAATAGAAGTTCTCTAACCATCANAAAAAAGATCTTCAAGATCAACAATGATTAATATTATCTTGCCGTGTTTTTGGTTCATGTGATTTAACCAAATCTAGATTATGTGTCTTTTGAAGGAATAAATTCCTTCATATAAGGAATTTTGTTTCTTTAAACTATCCAAATTCATATTCATATCGGCAATTTGAAATTTTGAATTACAATAGAACACGACACTATGAATACAAAATATCCTTTAACAAATAAATCAGATTCAATCAAAGATTTAGTATTTTTAAAAGTAATAAAATTATTAATTAGGCAATGTTATGTGATACATATATCTAAGTCTATTTCCATAACGTTTTACCACTATTAACAAATTGACAAATGAAAGCTGTCGATCTAACCATACGAATTAGCCATTTTCTGTTAAAAAAAAGTTTTTGATTTTTATTTTATCGGCCGAGTCTTTTTCTTTTTTAAATAAAAAACTGCTAAATATTTAAATCTATTAGCCGATGTTATTTTCTATAAGTTGCAGAATTTGAGAAAATAAAAAAGGTCAGCCAAATTATGTTAAATCTATGTGTCACAATTTTCGATATTTAATCATCCTATTTTTCTTTTTATTAAAAAAAATCTGCCAAATGATTAAATTATATTAGCCGATCCATTGTTTAAAAAAGTATAAGATTTTGTGAGAATAATAAAGAGAAATCCCGATTATGTGGTTATATAATGTAACAAACTCCAAATGGATTGGTTTGCATTTAATGCTTTCGTGTTCTTAAAAAAAAATTGTCATTAATGGAAAGTAATTAATGCTAAATGACTTTGACCATAGATTTGACTTGCTATTTTTTTAAAAATAGTAATTCTTATTATAAATATATAGATTAGTTAGAGCATTTAGTTACCTAAGAGATTAGTTAGTTTAATTAGTCAGCTAAGAGAGAGAGAGTTAGTTGCAGATATTTTACTTGTATATATGCACACCTATCAGAGTTGTAATACAATCATCTTCTTCATTCAATCCATGGCTTAGCATTATGCTCAACAGGCAATACCAACTAATAATAATTGCCACTAAATACAAATTACATAAGTGTTCAAGCTATTTATTTTAAAATCAATATTATCTTTTTTATTTTATTTTTAAATTTATAGCATAGTCAAAGAACTTTAAATTCTTACAAACAATTGTTGTTGTAATAATAATAATAATAATAATAGTAATAATAATAATAATAATAATTTTTTCAATTAAATTATTTCACCATGATCCTCCAAATTATAAAAATTACATTACTTGCAAACCTTTTCAATCAATATAGTGATTCATAGGTACTCGAATAGTTTATATTTATATTATTTTATTTTTATTAATGATCAAATCTTGAAAATGTGATATGTTTTAAATTCGCATGTATTACTTATAATATTTTATGTATATATCTGCATGTGCACAGGATAATTAGTACTAGTGCAGCTTAAATTTCACACAAAGTCACAAGCCTTACATTAATATCATCACACAAACATAAGGAACAAAAGAAAAAAAAAGAAAAAGAAAAAGAAAACATAATTGATATTAATATTATTCTACATAGCTTTCACAGCTTGAAACCTAGGCTCCTTAGCCAAAAACTTCTGCTCAACATAAATCGACATATAATCCCCGAAAACAAACTCCGGATACTGGGCCACCAATCCCTCAGCGGGCCCGATCTTGGCCTCGAACGATGGGTTATAAAATGAGGCTATGGAACGCCTGTTCCCAGCCCGCATGGCCCGAACCCGATGCCACACGCTCTTATACCTCCCATTGCTCAACACCTCGATTTGATCACCTGTGTTGATGACTATGGCATTTTTCATGGGCTGCACGTCGACCCAATCACCATCCTTCAGAATCTGGAGGCCCCCCACCTCATCATCCTGGAATAGGAGGATGACCCCACCCGCGTCTGTGTGGGCCCGGAGCCCATTTACCCTTTCGGGCTGGGGGCACGGAGGGTAGTGGCTGACCTTAGTGCCAAAGAAGGCCTTGTCGCCGGTTTGGGCTCCGGCGTTGAAGGCCCGATTGATGTAGCCATTGGGCAGGCCCAAGTTCTCATCCATGGTCTCCATGACTCGGACAGCTAGCTTCTTCAGCTCGGATCTGTACTCCTTCATGGTATCCCTGTTTTATTGGAAATTAATTAATTAATTAATTTTGGTCTCATGAATATTACGAAAAATAAAAATAATAAAATTAAATACATGTAATTGTGCTTAATTACTTGAAGCCAGGGGTTTTGTTAGGCCACTGATCATCATTATCATCTGATAGCAAGAAAACATCCTCCCAATCCACATTCTCTAATTTCTCATCTCTTTTTTTCTCGATTATTTCGTTCAGCAGTTTGACCGGCTTCGAGTTCTTGAAATTCGGCTCTCTTTCCAGTTTGAAGCATTCGGACGCAACTTTCTTCACCTTCTCTAACAGCTCCTCAGAGATCCCATGGTTGATCAGCTGTCGATGGTCGAGTAATTGCACGTTTAATATAATTCGTTTTCTTTTATCATAAATATATATAAAAAATAAATTTAATTGAAAATATACAAATTAAGATTTACATAATGTACAAAACATCAAAGTGGTTTAATTATGCAATAACAACAATTCTAGTATTTATAACAAGTATACTGTTACTGTTTGGCAGACCAAACAGTTAAACAATCATATATAAATAAAAGTATGACACTTCGTGACATAATATGAGTATACATTTTTTGTTATTAAAATATAACGGGTCGACCCACCTAACGGTTAAACTACCCCTCACCAAAAATTGTGTATGCTGCCTATCCAAGTGTGTTTATATATAAATATAACAGTAAAAAAGTTACCTGAAAAAATCCCCACTCTTCACAGCAATTAGCAATCTGAGCCAGAGTCTTGGCTCTCTCTTCACCATCAAGCTTTGAGAAATCAATTACAGGAATAGCCATTGATTTTACTATTAATTAGGTTACAAATTGAATAACTGGACTTATTAATCACAGCAAAAACATGAACTATTGTTGCAGATGAGAAAAATAGGCTCACAAGTCAGAACTCATTAGTTCTTTACTTTTAATGATATGGTGATCGAGACTAAGCTTGAAGCCTATTTATATAGGAAGGTCAAGCAGTATTCATAAATAGATAAAAAAAAATTATTTAATTATAAAATGATAGTGCATGGCCATTGGATCATGTACACAACATTAATGAACAAAATAAATAAAATAATCGCATGGTCAACGTTTTATCAATCATTATACATTGTTTAATCAGAGCTTAATACGTTAGATTAACAGGAGGTCGCCACATGGCAGCGTGCTGCAATTAATTATCATCTTATTGTGTAATTACTAGTGCTTATCCCGTGGATGATGCACGGAGGAGCTTATATATTAAAGGGAATTTTTTTTTTTAACCTCCTAAAGTATGTCATTTTTTAGAGTTTGCCATATAAATTTTTTTTTACACTTTGTCTCCAAATGTAATCGAAATTGACAATTTGTCTCCTTGATTGAAAACCCTAATATGACACAAAAGAGTTTTTAACTCAATTAATGATAAATTTAAATTAATCTTTACAATTGATTTAGGGCTTTTAAAGCCCATGGCGAGACGAACAAAATGAGGTATAGTTTGTCGATTTCTGAAAATTGATACATATAAAATCGATCCACGAAGATAGCCGGAGCACGGTGTGTATAGAAAAAAATTTCAATTCAAGTTTTCTGATAATTAAGATATCCGATTTTCGATTGGAATGCGTCATTTGAAAGCTTGGAGGACGAGTTTTCTATCAAAGTAAATTTTATGAAAATCCAACAGTCGGATTTTGGTTAGTAGCCTAAAAAAAGCTAACTATTGTCAATAGTTTTTTAAATACTGATCAAAATCCGACCGTTGGATTTTCATAAGATTTATGTTTTAGAAAATTGGTCCTACTAGCTTTCAAATGATACTTCCCAATCGAAATCAGATATCTTGATTATCATAAAACTTCAATTGAAATTTTTTCTATATACACGTGCTCCTACTATGTTCGTGGATCGATTAAAGAGGTATCAATTTTCAAAATTCGACAAATCATACCTCGTTTTTTTCGTCTCGCCATGGGCTTTAAATGCCCTAAATCAATTTTAAAGATTAATTTAAAATTTATCACTAATTGAGTTAAAAACTATGTTGTGCCATATTAGAGTTTTCAATCGAGGAGGCAAATTGTCAGTTTCGATTACATTGGGAGATTGTTACACTTTTCACATCTCATCTCATTATGAAAATAAAATAAATACAAACAATGAAAAATATATATTATTAAACACTTTTCTTTACACAATATTTTTTATTTAAGGAATATTATTAAACCTTGCAATTTTGACTTTTTTTTTCTTAAATCAATTATCCAATCTATGATTTTTAATGTACAAAAAATAATGAAAAGAATCCAAACTTTAAAGTAAAACTATTTTTTTTATTTTTTTTACAAATCAAAATCATCCAACTTTTTTGAGCACTTTCATATCTCAATTTCAATGTATATTTCATACCAATTTATTCAATGATCAATCATTATTCAAATTACTGAATAAATTAGAAGAGGAATCTAAATATTATCCACTATCATCTTTTTTCTTTCTTATTTTTTTATCGAACAATTAATAGAAAATTCTATTCCCATCATATATTTAATTATTATGAGATCAAATTCAATCTAATTAAAGTAACAATTAAAATTATTATAAAATAAAATTCAATATAATTAAAGTAACAAATTAGAAAACATAACATTAAAAATTGGATAGAAAAAATCTCAATTTACATCATCTCATAAAAAATCAATAAACATATCGATTTTGTATATTCCAAAGAACATCATTAACGCAAACAAAACAACAAAACACGATAACCTGCAAGCACCAAAAAACATCACAAACCAGAAAACTGATTCATAACAAAAACATTAAAAATTTCATTTCCTAATTCCTCCAGCTCCCACCATCTGAACCGCCGCCACTCCTCGAATACCCAAAATAAATATAATTCATGTGAACATTTAAGTTGTAAGGTAAGTAAACTACCTTCAAAGGATTTAATATGACCGCTTGGACTTACATTTCCACGATATTGTTCTATGGAAGGAAGCAGACTGCTTAGAAGATTGACATGTTTATTTTGGTGTCGTAACAGTCGTCGCCATAACAGCCGTCGCCGCTGTAGCCACCACCACCATTCCCGCCACTGCTTTCACTCCGGCCTCCACAGCCACCGCCGTCGCCCCCACCATACCCACAACCTCTGCCCTCACGACGCCGACCTCAAAACCCACCACTGCCGCCACCTTGGGACTATGCCTCGTTCTCGGTGATATTCTGACTGTCGAGCTATTGGGACTGTACCCAAAAAAATCTGCTTGTAATCTTTCATTTAAATGTTTGAATGTAATTTTTTTTCAAAAAAAATTCAAAACACATTTGGACGGGATTTTTAAAAAATTTTCAAAAAGAATTACCAAATTTAGTAACTTTTTGAAAATTTAAGCGGAAACTTACACACTATTTAAAGTAAATCCCTATTATTTTTTATATTAATATAATTAATATAAAAATTGTTACAGTAAATAAAATTTGTTACGTGATTTCATTTGCAACTGTACGTCATGTGTTTTCACTTTTATTTGAGTTCTATAGGCCATAGATTCATAGTCAATAATTGGCAGGATTTTGAGTTCTATAGGCCATAGGCCATATAAAAATAGAGTTTAATTGGGTAGTTATAGTTAAATATAAAATAGGTATCAGGATTTTGCTAAATTAGAGGGTTTGAATTCATATAATACAATACCCGTGGGGGTATTTAAATATATTAATATATGTATAATAAAAATAAACTAATTTATATTTTTATTGTAAAATTATGTATGATGAATAAGCAACAATAATAAATAACTAACAAAATGATAATTAATTGAAATGATGCCCATATTTTTACACTAAATTTGTCAAAAAAGATATCTTTTAATTATATTTTTAAAATTATATAAGTATGAAAGTGATATTATTTACAACTCCATATATTTGATTTATTTTTTTTAAACAAAACAACTTTTATTGTATTATGATTATATTTTATATTTATAGAGTCAGTGTATCACGTCTCAAGCATTTTAAATTCACATAATTTATAATTTAGAATTTAGGTAGAAATGTATTGTTTTCTAATTTTGTGAAATACAAAATTATTTAATTATATTTAATTTTGATATTCATTTATATTTACTATTTTAAATGACAATAATAACATTCAGTTTTTTATAATCTATTTAAATTGATAAATAATATTTTATAATGTTTCTTAAAATTTATTTTAGGTAATACTTAATTTTCATTTTTTTTTCAAAATTTATTGGAAAAAAATAAAATAATTATTTTATGGTGTATTAATGAATTAGATTTTATTAGTTTTATATAATAATTTATATTGTTATTTGATGTATTTTAAATTGAGTTGATAATAAAATATTAATTTTATTTAAAAATATAGATGTAATTATTATTTATTAATTTTATTTAAAAATTAATTTTATTGAAGATCGTTACAATATGATTATTTTGGTAGATCATATGTTAAAAATAAAATACAAATAAAAAAGTTATAAAGTTTTAAAAATAAAAAGAATACATATTTATAATAACTAATATATGAAATGGTAATAGTAGTATATAGTAACTTAAAAGAAAAGGGAAGTTAAAATAGTTTATGATAATTCCTAAACCTAATAGTCAAAACTAAACCTAAACATGTGTCAATGTGAAGCACCAACTTATGCCAAATAAGCTTGCGAAGCACACGAGTCTGCCACTTAGGCTCAGCGTATTCCGAAATTATATATAGAGGCCATAGATATCAGTATTAATTATGCTAAATTAGAGCGATTGAATTCTATTTAAAGATAATTGATCAATTAAATCCATTAATTTTTGTCCTGTAAAAAGTTTATTTATTTAGTTTTTTGAATCCAAAAGTTAAGTTTAAAATAATTCATAAGACCAACGTTTTTGGAAGATAAGATTAAAAAAGAAAAAGAAAATACAACCTAACAGTTATAAATTTACACTATTTGACAAACGTTTATTTAACAAGCTGCTAATTGAATTCGTTAGTAAATTAAATTACTACAATCAACTATAAATTAGACGCTAATTGGCACATGTTGAGGTATTTTTACTTCCTACAAAACTAGTGTACTGATGGGCTTGGAGCTTAGATAGAACCACATATAAAAGGTACTGTCGTTGTTTATATGGAAAAACCCTAAAAATAAATTGACTATTAGTAATTCATGATTAACTTACCTAACCAATTTTCTAAGAGTTTATTGCACTCCATGTTATTTGGGTGGTCCAGTCAACTGAGATTTGGATCTCACCCTCCAATAAGCAACTCTTAAAGTTTCCCAAAAGGTTTTCATCACCATGATCAAATTGCAAGGTTTTTCATAAATTTACTCCTTGACGCTTTTCTGTAATTGTCCAATATTTTTGAATTTCCAAAAATACCTAGACTTGTGGCGTATCACTTAAAATTCTAAATGTCCATTCGTTTCAAATAATTTTATACAAAGAAAACAATACTCGAATCCGCTGATTGAATCCGCTAGACAAAATTTCCTTTCTTAGAAAGATTAATGCAATTAAGTATATAGATGTATATATCATACGTACATCACTATTGTACAACTTTCTTTTTTCAAAAGATATTCATACACTAGTACGAATCCCGTGCGATGCACGAGTAATAAATAATTTTTAATATTTATAAATTAAAACTACTCATTAAAAAATATATATATAAATTAAAAATATGGAATCAATATGTAATACAATTTACATATATTAGTTTATTAAAAATATTTTATAAAATTTAAATTCTACAAAATTACATAAAACATATCGATTTGAAATTAGTACACAACCTGTACGGTGCACACAAGTGATAATAAATTTATTATATTTATTTTAAAATAAGTGTCATTTTAAAATTTTCGTTCAAAAATTTTATTTGACTACAATGTGCTCCCATAGATTAATTATTTTGGTAAAGTTTAACATATATATCAAAATCTATGTGAATAATAAGTATAATAAAATTTATATTGTTTCATTGATTGAAATGAATTTATTTTTATATAAACTATACA